AATTAACAAAATTATTAACTCAATTATAAAAAAATTTGAATTTAATTATAACAATTTAATATAATTTTTTTTTTTTTTTTCGTTTAAATTAAAAAAAATATTTTAAAATAATTACGAGGAAAAAATTTATAAAAAAAAAAAAAAAAAAAGAGAAATATGAAAGAATTTTTCGTGTTCATCATTTTTACATAAAGTAAAAAAAAAAAATTTTCTTTTTATTAAACGTTTTTATTCAACTGGAAATAATAATAAAGTAATAATTTTCCAGTAAAATAAAAAAAAAAAAAAAATTCTCCTTTTTTCTTTACAATTTTCATTATATTTACCTGAAATGAATTTTTTTTTAATTAAAATAATTAACAAGATGATAAAACATAAAAAGAAAAATTTTTCGAGTGTGAAACAAATGAAAAACATTAAAATATTTAAATAATATATATAAATTGTATGAAACAAATAATAATAATAAATAAATGTTTTTTTTTTTTTATAATAACGCGAAATAAAATTTATGATAATAATATTTATAAGTCAATAAATTCTAAAATTAAAATATTATATAAAAAAAAAAAAAACCTTTACAATATCAAAGAGTAAAAAATTAAATTTTTTTTTTTTTTTTGAGTTAAAACAAAAAACATTAATTTTGTTATGTAATTAAAATTATTATACAATATTATAGATTTTACGTTTTTTTTTAATTAATTCTCTTTTGAAATTATTTTTTTTTAAATCGATTTCCTAAAATTTCCCCCCCCCCCCCCTTCTTTTATTTATTTTTTTTTTGATTTTTTTTATACATAAAAATTTATTACAACATCCGAAATTGTTATTATTTATCCAAATTGTACGTATCGATAAAATAAAATTCTAATAAAATATTTATTTTATGAAGTACAAAAATATAAAAATTAATAATGATAATAATAATTTTATATTGGGAACTAAATAAATATTCAAGGGAAAATTAAATAAAATAAAATTTCGCGAAATGTGTATAAAACCAAAAAATTTCATTCATATTTT